ATATTAGAAGCCACAATAGTGGTTGCTATTTGTACGGTCTGAGGGATTAGAGGGAGTACTGTAATTGAGAAGAAGCATGAGGAAGCTTCTAGATTACTGGTTCTCTGTTTTGGTGTGGGTGTTATTTACACAGGTATATTCACTTTGTGAAAATTCATTGAACCCGCCAGGGCAGGCAAGACCTCATCTCTACAATAAATCAAAAAAAAATTAGCCGGGCGTGGTAGCACGCGCCTGTAGTTCCAGCTGCTTGGAAGGCTGAGGCGGAAGGATCGCTGGAGCCCAGCAGGTCGAGGTTGAGGTGGCCGGGAGCAGTCATTGCACTCCAGTCTGGGTGACAGAGTGAGACTCCAACTCAAAAAAAGAAAAAAGAAAATTCATTGAACTATATAAGAATTAATGTATGAGTTATATATATTTGTCTATTTGGCATTTAAAATATTGAAGGAAGGAAAGAAAGAAGGAAAAGAAAGAGAAAGAGAGAAAGAAGGAAAGATCCAAATGTCTTAAAGGAGAAATCATTTTAAGAAAAATAACATTAAAAAATCCTACATAGAGAGCATAGAAATTGGGCAAAGTGTCTGTAGGTTCCCAGCTATGCAGTGAGAAAGACATAGGCCAATTTCTTTTTTTCTTAGTATGCTAATTGTAATAAAAAACAATATAAAATTTAATATCTTAACCATTTTTAAGTATACTTTAGTAGTGTTAAGAATATTCACATTGTTGTGAAACATCTCCAGAATGTTTTCATCTTGCCAAACTGTAACTCCGTACCCATTAAACAACAATCCCCCCCGCCGAGCCCTTGGTAACCTCCATTGTGCTTTCTGCTTTTATGAATTTGACTACTTTAGATATCTCATACAAATGAAATCATACAGTATTTGTCTTTCTGTGATTGGCTTATTTTACTTAGCAGAATGTCCTCAAGGTTCCTCCATGTTATATTATATGACAGGATTTCTTTCTTCTTTAGGGTGAATAACACTCAATTTCATATATATGCATCACATTTTGTTTACTCATTTATCTGATAATGAACATTGGGTTGTTTCCATCTTTTGCCTACTGTGAATACTGCTGCGATAAACATGGGTGTGCAAATATTTCTTTGAGACCCTGCTTTGAATTCCTTTGCATATAACCCAGAAGTGGGATTGTTGATCATACAGTAGTTCTAGTTTAAATTTTTTGAGAAACTTACATACTGTTTTCCACAGCAGCTGCATCATTTTACAATCCCACCAACAATGCTCAAGTGCTCAACTTCTCTAAATCCTTGTCAACACTTGATATTTTCTATTTTTAAATATTATTTTATTTATTTTTACTGATATATAACATGTATATATTTTTAGGGTATATGTGATAATTCATATAATTTGGAAGATCAAATTAGTATAACTGAGATAGCCAAAACCTTAAATATTTGTCTTTTCTTTATGCTAGGAACATCTAAATTATTCTCTTTCTGCTATTTTGAAACGTACAATAGAGTACTATAAACTACAGTCACTCTACTGATCTATCAAATACTGGGTCTTATTTCTTCTAATTGTACATTTGTACCCTCCGTCAACCTTTCTTCATCCTTCCCTCCCCTCTACCCTTCCTGGTCTTCGGTAACCACCAATCTACTCTTTATCTTCGTGAGATCCATTTTTTTTTTTTACCTCCCACATTTGAATGAGAATGTCTTTCTGTGCTTGGCTAATTTCACTTAACATAATGACCTTCAGCTCCATCCACATTGCTGCAAATAACAGAATTTCATTTTTTATGCCTAAACAATATTTTATTGTGTATTTATACCACACATTTCATTTCGTCCTTCTGGAACAAGATAAGATCACTCACTTTCACTCCTTTTATTCAACATAATACTGGAAGCCCTGACCAGAGCAATTAGGCAAAGGAAAGAAATTGAGGGCAGTTAAATTGGAAAGGAACAAATCAAATTATTATTTTTTACAGATGACATGATCTTATACTTAGAAAAACCTAAAGACTCTACACCAAAGAACTGTTAGAACAGATAAACAAATTCAGTAAAGTTGCAGGAAACAAAATCAGCATACAAAAGTTAGTATAGCATTTATATATACCAACAGTGAACAACAAGAAAAAGAAATAAAGTAATCCCACTTACAATAGCTGCAAAGAAAATAAACTACTTACGAATCAATTTAACTAAAGAAGTGAAAGATCTATATAAGGAAACTATAAAACACTGATGAAAGAAATGAAAGACACAAAAAAATGAAGAGATACTCCATGCACATGATCAGAAGAGTTAATATTGTTAAAATGGCAATACTACCCAAAGCACTTTATAGATTCAATGCAATCTCTACCAAAATACCAATGACATTCTTCACAGAAATAGAAAAAAAACCATGAAATTTATATAGCACTGCAAAAAAACCCAAATAGCCCAAACAAAGTTTGAGGCATCAAATTATCTGACTTAAAAAGGTACTACAAAGTTATAGTAACCCAAACAGTATGGTATTGACATAAAAACAGACCCATTGATGAATGGAACAGAATAAAGAACTCAGACAGAAATTCACACATTTATAGCTAACTCATTTCTGAAAAAAAAGGTGTCGAGAACATGCAATGAGTAAAGAATAGTCTCTTCAATAAATGGTGTTGGAAAAATTGAATAACCAGAAACCAGTAGAAGAAAACACTGAAGAAATGCTCTAGGACACTGATCTGGACAAAGATTTTTTTCTTTTTTTCTTTTTTTGAGTTGGAGCCTTACTCTGTCGCCCAGGCAGAGTACAGTGGCATACTCACGGCCACCACAGCCTTGACCTGCTGGGTTCAGGTGATCCTTCTGCTTCAGCCTTCCAAGTAGGTAGAACCACAGGCACACGCCACCACGCCTCGCTAATTTTTTGATTTATTGTAGAGATGAGGTCTCACCAAGTTGCCCAGGCTGGTCTCGAACACATGGACTCAGGCATTTCTCTCAACTCGGCCTCCCAAAGTGCTGGGATTATAGGTGTGAGCCACCATGCCCGACAAAGATTTTTTTCTGTAAGACCTCAAAAGCACAGGCAACCAAAGCAAAAATGGACAAATGGGACTTCATCAAGCTAGAAGGCTTATGCACAGCAAAGGAAACAATCAACAAAGTAAAGAGACAATTCACAGAATGTGAAAAATATTTGCCAACTATCTATCTGACAAAAGATTAATAACCAGAATCTATAAGGAGCTCAAACAACTTAACAGCAAAAAACCAAACAATTCGATTAAAAAATGGGCAAAGGATCTGAATAGACACTTCTCAAACAGAGACATACACATGGCCAACAGGTATATGAAAAATTCTCAAAACCACTGATCATCAGAGAAATGCAAATAAAAACCACAATGAGATCCTTTACTCCAGTTAGAATGGTTTTTGTCAAAAAGCTAGGGAATAAAGGATGCTGGCGAGGATGTGAAGAGAGGGGAACCCTGGTGCACTGCTGAGAGAATGTAAATTAGTACAGCCACTATGGAAAACAGTATGAACGCTCTGCAAAAAAAACCCCAAAAAACCAAAAAAGGGCTGGGTGTGGTGACTCAAGCCTGTAATTCCAGCACTTTGGGAGGCTGAGGTGAGAGGATTGCCTGAGCCCAGCCTGGGCAACCTGGAGAGACTTCATCTCTACAGTAAATAAAAAAATTAGCCAGGCATAGTGGTGTGTGCCTGTAGTTCCAGCTACTTGGAAGGCCGAGGTGAAAGGATCAAGGCTGCAGCAGATCAAGGCTGCAGCGGCTGTGAGTGTGCCACTGCACTGCACTCCAGCCTGGGTGACACAGTGAGACTACAACTCAAAAAAAAAAAAAAAAAAAAAAAAAAAAGAACTATGATATGATCCAGCAATTCCACTACTGAGTATATATCCATAAGAAAGGAAATCAATATATTGAAGAGATATCTGCAGTCCCATGTTTAAGGCAGCACTATTCACAATAGCTAAGATATGGAATCAACATTTTCTGGGGTTTTTTTGGTTTGTTTAAGTCAGATTCTCACTCTGTTGCCCAGCCCAGGTTGCAGTGGCACAATCACAGCTCACCATAGCCTTGACCTCTCAGGCTCAGGTGATCCTCCTATCTCAGTTTCCTGACCAATGGGACTACAGGCGTATGCCACCACACCCAGCAAATTTTTTTTACTTTTTGTAGAGATGAGGTCTCACTATGTTGCCCAGGTCTCAAACTTCTGGGCTTAAGTAGTCCTCCCACCTTGGCCTTCCAAAGTGCTAGGACCACAGGTATGAGCAACCACACCTGGTCAACAGGTTCTGTTTTTGTTTGTTTGTTTGTTTGTTTTTTGATAGTAGCACAGGCCAATTTTTGAAGAGCCATCTATGAAGGTTTGAAAAAGACTTACCTAAATTAAACTCTAAATATAAAAGCCTCTGAGAAAAGTGACTTTAATTTTTATTGAGACTATTCTATTCTAAAAGACCAGCACTTTTTTTTGTTGTTTTAGAAAGCAGGGTTTATGGAGAGGACAGAAAAGCTCACACAGTGGGCACACAGTGGGAGGGCACACAGTGGGAGGGGACTTGACCTGAGGGGTTGCCCACCAGCATCATTTTGATATGACTTTACCTTCTTCAAAGTTTATATATTTGTCCAAAGTTTCTAACAACTAAATGGCACAACAGCATGCTAAAAGTGGCATAGCAAGAGGAAAAGCTTTGTTTTCATATCTTGTTTGAAATGCCACCCACAAGTGTATCTCCCAGAAAAAGCAATAATATAACTACTGAAAGACCAATTACAGCGTGAATGCATATTTCATTATCTTTGGTCCCCCTCAACTGGGAATTCTACCCAATGGAACAAGCGCACTGGCACTGGTAGAAGCTAAGAAGTCTCAGAAACAATGACACAAGAAGGGACAAGAGTGACTAAAGTGTAACCTGAACCAGTGGAAGGCCAGCCAAGCCCAGTTCCAGGAGCGATAACCTACAGCTGACTACCTTGCTCTTCTGGAAGGACTTGCACAGCTGAGTTTTCCTTTACTTTTTTTCTGGCTGCTGCTGCTTCTTCTTCAGACCATTGCATGTGATCCCTGTTAAAAAAATAAAAAAAGATTCTAAAACATGCTCTATTATTGACGAACACTGGCAAAAAAAAAAAAAAAAAAAAAAAGATGACCAGGAATCACATCTTTCATTCTAGATTAGTCAAAGACAAATGACACAAACTAATTCCATGTGAAATGAATATATTTTGTGTCAGATGTTCCTACGGATGGTGCTGGTACAACCCTGGAACTCCTACGGTTCTTCTGTCTAAATCTAGTTGCGCTGCAAGCCTCAGCCACCTTTGGGAAATGACTGCTGAGGTAATGTCCTCAGAACACCTCAGTGCATGATTATTTGGGTGTTGGTATGATTTGCTGGGGGGGGGGTTGTTTGCTTTTTTACTCTAAGGCTACATTTATTTGCCTTTTTGTTAATTTATAAACAGAGCAATCTTTAATCATTTTTTAATGCTACTTTAATACACTTATATTCTGATACTCTGCTTTCAAAGAGGGACAAGTTTTAAAAATACTTTGTACTTAACCCTGCAATTTTAAAAGTAACTTTAGTTATGTTTTTCTTATTAGTTACCTTAATTCCCATAGAAGGGTTAATTTACATTGAAATGATAGAGTACTTGATAAAGCATATAAAAGGGTCACCTTTCTAAGATCTGACACTTTCTATAAGTATTTTTAGTTTCAGAATTTATTCTCTCTATATAAGAAGATATTATTTGCTGCTGCAAAGGTATCTTTTTTGGAATAGAAGCAACAACTATATGCAAGAAAGGTGATTTTTTTTTTTAGTATTGTTTTTACAAAGTTTGCATTTCATTTTTTGCAGTAAGTTAGAATATAAGCAAGTAAAGCAACTTCCTGGAGTAAACCACTTTTCTAAACAATAAAACAATTATATAACCCACATTCAAGTTACAGATAGTCAATTGATAACTATAAGACAAACCCCTAACACCCCTAAATATGATATTTGAAGTCTGACTGATGAGAAGGGGTAAATTATAAAATTTTTAGAGGTGCATCTTTATGGTGACTGAGAAACATTAACTGAGCAGTTAGTATGATAATTACTATAATAATAACTACTACAACTTATTACTTATTATTTAAACATTGTGATAAGCACATTACATACATATGTCATATTTAATCTTTTCAAAACTACAATAGCATTTAAGCATAGTGTGAGGAAGTTAGAGAAATTTAAGAAATAACTAAATCTATCACACTTTGCATACTGGGTAACAGAAATTTATTAACTTACTCAAGGTCATATAGCCGGTAAGTGGTAGAATCAGAATTCAAACCCAGATGTGTGTCACTTCAAAGTCCATCTTCTCAACCATTTGTCTATTATTGTCTACCAAGGCAGTGGGGACACTGAGAGATTTAAGACTTAACCCTTTTCCATCACTGGCTTATATTTTCCTAATGCAGGCATATAATCAAGAATTAAATGATAAAACAATGGAATATGCATGGCTAGCAGCTCAGGAATGAGCACGTAGCCAATTAATGCTAGCTGCGGCAAATAGGAAGGCTTAAGAGGAAGGTAGTTTTGGGTGCCTGTTAGGAGAAAAGATGATGGGCAATTACTCACATCAATAAGAAGTTGGCAATATGGACAGTGTATACAGGACAGGACTTAAAAATCCATTTTGACAGGTTCTTTTGAGTTATTGCAGATGAAGTTGAATGGGTTAATGGTCAAATTTCAGAGGATCTTAAATGTGGGGCTGAACAGTTAAATGACATGCAAAACACAAAGGAGTAAGAAGGGACTGGAGAAGGGAGACCAATCAGACTGTCGCAGTGATCTAGGAGTAATGAGATCCAGGACTAAATTGGTAGCAATGGGAAACAGAAAGGAAGAGAGGAGCGGAAGACTCCAAGAACACTGTAGTTATAACCTGGAAACTAACTAGATATCGGAGAAGAAGAGGAGAGTCATGAATGACTTCAAGGTCTTAAAACTGAGTATCTAGGAAAGTGGGGGTAACAGTGATAGAATAAGAAGTTTCTTTGGGTGGAATGATGACAAGCTGGTACTATTTTAAGTAATGTTTGTGCAATCAGATATGAAAGGGGATTTTCCAGGAACCTGGCTATAAATATACCACTGAAAGGTGAGAAACTGTTTTCTCTCAAAAAGTATCAAAACTGGTATATGGGAGTCTCCAGGAAAGTGAATGAGAATGCTTTCAGAGTTTCACAGATAAAAGTTTAACCACCAGTATTTAAGTAAAATCCAATCATTTACAACCCAAATAATCATTAAGCAGCTTTGTCACTTGCTTTGGTAAATGAGATTAGCATAGATTTTTGTTTTGACTTATTTTAATATATGTGAGCAGTCACATATAAATTTGGGGCTGGCAGCTATAAATTCTGCATATATAAATAAATTATACTGAATGCTATTATATGACAGTTATGACAATAAAGGCAACAAGTTATTTATTGAAAAAAAAGGTATCCCCAAGATGAGTTTCTCATCTACAAATTTCTGCAACATATAGGATAGAAAACAGAACAAATCTATTTCCCTGTAAAGAATCAAGTCATGAGAAATGAGAGTTTATATAGTCTTCAGCTTTAAGCATTTGTTTTAAGCTGTTAGCTTAACTTGCTACTTCTTCAGTATTTAATAGATTTAGTTATTTCTTAAATTACTCTAACTTCCTCACACTGTTCTTTAAGTTGCTTCATTTTCTTCACTGCTAAGTGAAGGGAATATTATACCCTAAGCTTCTGCAGAACAGATTTTTTCACTGTACAGTTACAAAATCCCCACAGAAACGTATAAAATGTTTCTACTGTATTTATGGGGACTTCCTCCAGCCCTGCTGCTTTATGGCAGTCTTTATTTCAGAAGAGTTGGATTCATGTATACAAAAACCCAACAGCCAGCAATAAGAATCATGTAACTTTTTATAAGTAATAAATATAACCACAATCGAATTTAACCATAGAGACAAATAACTAATAAACAAATTGAAAATAGTCAAGTATTTAACAACAACAAAGACCAATGGAAAAAAATGTCTTATAAAGTTTGGCCTATAAATTGTACTTCTGGAAACTTACTGTAAAGAATTAACTCAAAAGAACAGAGAGTTTCTGTACAGACAAATATCTGCACAAATATGTGAAATAAAGCACAATGTAATAGAAAAAATTGAGAACATCTTCAATGACAGGGCAATGAAAAAATTATGGTAGCTCTAAGAAATATTATATAGAATTTAAGATGTAAATATGATATTATGTAACAATATGAAAAAGTGTTCATGAAATAACATAAGGTTAAAAAGCAGATCCCAAAACTGTAATATGTATTATAATTACAACTGTTTAAAATTACATAGACAGTGGGTATATATACATAGATTTTAAATGGTAAACTAAAATAAATTATGTTAGAATGGTAGGATGAAGAGAGAACTGCTTTAGAATTTCCTTAACATTGTAAGGTTGCTTTAACTAGAGACAATTTTTTAAAAACTGCATTTACATAAAACCTATACTTTATGTTCAAGACATAAAGCCATTAAAAGTTTACATTAGCCTTATTGGAAAAAAAACCCCAGCAACCTTTATAATAAAAATAAAATTATATTTTCTTTAAAAATAAAAGAGGTAAAAAAATAAAATTGAGCAGGAAACACAAAATATATTGAATACGTTTTATGAAAAATTTGAATTTGGGAAAAAAAAACAAAAATAAAAGATAAAATTTTTGAAATTTTCACATGTCCAGTCATCATGACTATAGTTTCAGTTCGTATACATATTTTATATATATGTATTTTCTGTTCCTTCTATATCTATATTACAATTGAATAATGATTCCTAGCTCTATCTTTAAGTTGATGGCAATAACAATCTAAATAATTGTGCGACTGGTTTGATTTGCACACCCCCTTCAGTTATTTAGCTTGGGTACAAAAATTTTTGACGATTGTAGTTATAGAAAATTCTGCTAAATTTGGTGCTACTCCTACTCAAATTTTTGATAATCAGTTATAAACCAAAGCACCCAATGTAAACTATGTGGACAGACTGTTTTCCTGTCTCTGTCATTTACTGTATATGTAAAGGTCTCACTGGGGAACACAATTCAAAGACAAATTTAACAAATGTAGCAGATGACTAGGGAATTATAAATAAAATATAGGGAGTGCCAAAAAAACTACACATTTTAAAAGCTGTTATCTATGTATTACTTTTCAAAGTTGAATTAAATTATGGAAGCAATGTATAGTATGACATTCGCTCAACCGTGCTTCTGCCATTTTCTTTGACTGTCCTGCCTGTCACATGATGACACTAGCATTCATTTGATTAACATCATCTTTTGAGTGAACATCATACTTAGAATGTATATATATTTTTGGTATTCCCTGTATTTATTCTCAGGTCAAAGGAAGAAACAGGGTTAATTACTTTCAGTCTAAAACAATTTCAATATTCTTAATTCTATACAAAGTCATATTTATTATGTAGTCATACATGCACATTTTTCTATATAGCTATACAATATTCATCATAATTATAACTTAAAACTTCAGTACAGGAGTTGTGATTCTGGCTATGACAGGGTACCTAGTAATGGACTTTACCTTCTGCCATAAACAATGATAAAACTGGGTAAAATATATGAAGCAACTGTTTTCAGACATTGGACTACACTTCAAACAGTACAGGACTGTGATCCTTAAAAGAAGAAAAACACAAAACACATGTTACAGACTGTGAAGCAGAAAGGAGGATTCCAAGCAGAGTGGTTGTCTCACTGAGTGGCAGTTTTGTGAGTTGAGAAGGCAGAGATCAGAATTCAGAGTTGCTGAGGTGGTGAGAGGTTTGTGTGGCAGAATACTGAAGAGGGAGCTGGACAGAGGGGAAGGCCAGAGTTCTTCCCCCAGGGTTTTAGCTAGTGCTGGCTGATCATCTACAGGGAGAGACTCCATGGGGTCTAGGAGAGAGAAGATTCTAGGGCCAAGAGTGGAGAAAAGAGAACCGAG